GGCCAGCCTGCTGTCCTATGCTGCCACTGATTGCGGCACAGGTTTCCGCCAGATTGTAGAGGAGTGTGGGTCTCAGCGTTGATTGAGTTCTGTCTCCCTGAAGGCTTTTGTAATTCGAGTTCTGCCATGTGAGCTGGAGCGTTTGTGAGTTGGAGCCCGTCTTCTTTTTGGCTCTTTTGTGTTCACGGTTGGGGTAGGCCTCGGGCAACACTTCTGAAGTCTGAGGAGGCCATGCACGATCAGCGAGATCTGGAGATGATCGAGGAGACAGGGATCAACGGCTTCCTCGCGCGGCACCTGTCTAGCCTGGCCTTGGGCCCCTCGACATCTCAAAATCAGCTAGCGCTTTGCAGGGTTGCTTAAAAGATACCTTTTGCCCATTGGAAACACGGCTTTTTCCACCAAAATAAAAGGAAACCACCATTTGCAAGGCGCTGTTCAGGTGTATAATGTAAGGATCCCTGTTGGGGAGGCTGCAAACAGAGACAGGCAAACCACGCATGAACAACCGGTGATGCTCGCTCGCGTCCGAGCCCCCTTCATTTCAAGATGGCAGACCGACGTCGCCCGAAGGGCGTCTCGCCGCAAACGAGACCAGGGCTTACAACAAGTCCTGTCGCAACTTGACTGCCCCTGTTGAACTACTGCTTGTACTAATGTTTCTGCTACCTCTACGGCTTCTACTACTTCTTCTACTTCTACCTCTACTCCTGTTGCTACTACTACTACTACTACTACTACTACTAATACTACTACTCCTACTACTGCTACTGCTACTACTACTACTACTACTACTACTACTACTACTACTACTACTACTACTACTACTACTACTACTACTATACTACTACTATACTACTTCTACTCTACTACTTCTTTCCTTTCGGTTTACGACCCGTGGAAGGTCAACCAACAGGTGCAAGCAATGCGTCACGTGTGTCAAGCCTTGTTCTTTGGCTTGTTTTCAGAAACTAAAAGGGTGAACTTGTTTTCAGAGGCTTGTTTCTCAGAAACCAAAAGGTCAATTTGATTCACATCCTTTGCGTCACTTTTCGGAAAAGAAAAAAAGAAAGAAAAAAAACACCCAAAAGCTTCAACAAGAATTGTTTGAGTTACCTGCTAAATTCTGATCTGTATCCAGCCTCGCCCGGCAAGAAACAAACCCCGAGGGTTTTCTCCCCGGCCTCGCGAGGGTTTTCGGCAGGCCTCGCCGAGGGCACCCGCTGTGTTACCTGGCAGGCGGAGCACGCCTACGAGCGCCTTGGCCGGAGACCTGTGCTTCAGGGAACGGGTGGTAGAACTGGATCTGGAGGAAGACACGTGGGAAGAGAACAAATCACAGGGAATGGCCTTCCGCCCAAAAAATACACTTGAAGGCCCCAGAAAGAAAGAAAAGTGGAAGCAGAACTGACCAATTCATTCCTAAGATTTCGTCCGTTGCCGGAAGCAATCGGAAGGTCAACACCATTTTCACTGCTGCTTGGGCCGGCAGCGTGCTTGCAAATTGCTTGTGTTGGGGACGGGCAGACCCTTCTGAGAACAACGGCAATCTGCACGAGAAGCGTTCGCGCTGGCCGACCAAGACTTTGATCGGAGAAAGATAATTGCAATGCTGAGTTTTGGGGGCCCGATGCAAGAGAAGCTGGACCATCATCTCGCGTGATCATGTGTTTCATTGCTCTATTCTCTTTCGTCATTGTGGGGTTGTTGCTTTTGATGCTGGGACAGCTTCGGCTGAATCTTGTGTTGGATGAGCTGATTGTCGACATAATACCGATACAACTAAGATGCATAATGTCGCAAAAGCGCACCGCATTCCTTGCAAAGCTGCGCACCGCTATTCGAAGGCTAGTTTGTTGGGTCCTAGCAACCAGAGAGCAATTGAGCTTGCCACACCACCCAGACTCTCCGATTCGGCGATTCGCCCAAGGATCCTGAAGGCCACTTGGCATCGAACTTGGAATGGGTTGCCAACGGCAACTACTTAAAGGCGTACACGTGTTTGGAAAAGATACCAGATGACATGAACATACCGACAATATTTCATGGCTTTCAGGCTGAAGCGATCGGTGCATTGAATCAGCCGCTGGGTGGCCAAATTTGCCGCAAGTCCCGTACTTCACTAGCATGCCTACGCCCCACTTTCTGAGACACGTTTACACACGTGAAGCAACGTGCGTGCTACTGAAGCGTGTTTTTTGAAGAGGGACCCTTTTCCCTTCATTAGTCACGCTCTTTATATCAAACCTGGCACAAATCACAGCGCTTTTGCACAATCAGATGTCAACTTCGTCATTCCTTCCGGGTGCCCCTTTCCTGAAGCATCGTACCTGTGGGGGGAGAAAAGAACCCCCTAAATTGGCGGAGCCGCGCGGAGCTCAACGAGGGCTGTTGCCAAACAGGGTGTTTGTCTAGGGCAAACAATGATAGCAGTGAACCGCTGGGTCATTCGATTCCTTTTGGGCCTCTGAGATTTGATCATGGGCATCACTTCAGAGTTTGTTTGGATCATGTGTTTCACCTTGGACAGCACGACGCCTCCTTCAGCCGTTTTGGGGGCAGTTTCTGGGCAGTCGAACAGTTCAGCAGTCGGCAGTGATCGAAGGAATGTGCGCAACTCTGGCTTTGATCTTCACTTCCGGCCTGGTTTCCGAACTCGAATGTTGCGACACACGTTGCAAGTAAAC